TTAGGCTTCATCGTCCAGCGGCTGTGAATGTCTGCACAAAATTTCATGGCAATCCATTTCAGTCTGGACCAAAGTGGTGGACCAACAGACACGCTGATGGCTAAAATAAGAACAAGCCTAAACACTGACAATTCTGGGATCACTATGTAGGAAAAAAGTATTGTACTAACATGTTAATTAACAATGAATACGATGATAAAAGTTGCAGTACTAAGTGTCATTTTTTCGCTGTGGAGCCTGGTCAAATTTAATACAAGACAGCAGCAACTCCAGTCTAGAAATCCTCAGTATCTTTTCCAGCCTTAAAGCAACAGTCAGCTGAACTGTATCAGCTACAGCCAAAGTCTGCTAGCAGTCAGCTGCTGGCTGATGTTAATGTCCATCCTGATGTAAAGGACAGATTTGGGCCGGGATGTGTGGTGGTACAGTGAGTCATCTCCGTAGTTACGCTTGGAGGTGCACATGAAGGTTTCAAAGCCCCTAACTAGGCTGTTACCAGGACTTCCAAAAATAACAACCACGAGACAAGGAGTTAATCTTCCCTGCACTGTGCATTCCACCATCACACAACATGCAGAGACCACGACTCCTATTCTCATAACTAATGTAGGGTGTCGACGTAGCCCCAGACACAAGTAGGTCTCCACCAGCCCCGAGCTAAGTGCCAGGTTGGGGGGAGGAGGAGGAAGAAGAGGAGGAGTGTGATGAAGAGTGCAACAGAGAGCAGAGGAGAAAAGAGGAAGTCTATTATCTCCACGGCTTCACTCTCCACATCAGCAGGCCAGGAATAAATGTGACCTTACGTCCGACCACGCGTTCACAGCGGGTGCCACAGACAAGCCATTAGGGACTTCAGTGGACCCAGACGCCCCTCCGGCCTCGCAGGGGGATGTGGTCAAATTACAGCACAAGTGTGAGTGTGAGGGGAAATACATGTGTGAGCAACTTTGTCCTCGTGTGTATAAGAGACATCTTTAATGGGACGAGTATGTGTGTGTGTGTGTGTGTGTGTGTGTGTGTGTGTGTCTGTGTCTGTGTCTGTGTGTCTGTCTGTCTGTTTCCACCGGAACCTGCGCGCTTACTCAGTTGTTCCAATAATAGATGCATTAGCAGAGAGCTTGGCCATGTAATCGAGGTGCCTTGTGAATTATAGACTCCATACTCTCCAATCAATGGACGGCTTGGCCTCACACGCTGTTAGGCCGGCAGGGTGGCAATCGGTGAGGGACAGCTTGCACGACACTCTTCTTCCTCTCAACACCATTCTTCCTCTCAGTTTCTCACACATATCTTTAAAATCCAGCATGCTTTGCAATCATCTGTGTGTGTGTGTGTGTGTGTGTGTGTGTGTGTGTGTGTTTCACAAAGCCTTAATCATGAAAAGGGCAAACACTGTCATTAGCTGTTTTTACTATTCTTTAGCACTAAACATACACACGCTATAATGATACATTGCAAATTTTTCTATTCATAGAAGGTCTTATTATTCTCTTGCATTAGGATGTGAGCCAATCAACTGCTCATTCTGATTCCTGAATGAATCAACATGCTCAAGCTTTTTCGTATTGTCTGCGGACGTTTCATCAACTGACAAGAGTCGGATTTTTAAACCAGTGCAAATATGCATTCGCTGCGACCACACACGCCCACATGTTGCCCATGTTTGCCAAATGGCCACCCACCCTTTAAGCCAACTGGCATGAACACAAACACCCACCTTCACACACACATACTTGACCTCTGTGCCAAATGTCAGCCTCTTGGGGCAAAAACTTTCTGCCAAAGGTGGGAAAGTTTTTGTGGAACTGCAAACCAATCAACCAACACTGTGAGCTAAGGAGCTGCAACAAAAAGAATGGTCAAAATCAAATCAGCAGAGGTCCAGACATGAGAGCTGAGATGATATGCGTATCTCCTGAGTTAATACTATCCCAATACTTGGGTGCTGATTCAATATGTATTGCCATTTTTTAAGTATTGCGATTCAATATTACAATTTGTTTGCGATTTTTGTTCCCTTTTTTAACACTATCCCATGGGAAAAGTTGAATAATACACTTCTAGAGACTTTACATAATGAGATATATTTCCAAAAACAATACACATCAGGTGCCAGTCAATCTCTCTGGCTGTTATTTCAGCAGCATTAGAACTCTATAGAAAAGCGGTAATTAAACTAATGTTTTTATGGTCCTATTTGTAATCATTTTATTCCTATGAAGCACTTTGTGACCTTGCTCTGTAAACGGTGCTATATTAAATAAACTTTTACTTACTTAATATAATGTACACTACATGTACAATACAATGGGAAAAAATACATTTGGAAGTAAACATAAACTGCTACATCTAGCTTTCCTGTTCATCAAGCTTGCAGTTTTTCCCAAACATTGATTTATTTGTGTGTGACTGCCAGAATATCAACACTGAACTTTCATTTCATTGAATTTTTATTCGAGCAGCTTAAGGTCCATGTCCTTGGACTGTCTGCCATTGTCTGCTTTCTCATATCCGCTTTGTTTTTCTTGAAACAAAGACTAAGATGTTTAGTCCTTAACATGTGTCAAGAAGCAAAAACACTAGGTCCTACATTCCCCACAATGCATCTCATTAGCATCTTTTATTATGTCTCCAGTGCTTCCAAACAACCGACTTCTTCCAAACCCTTCACATTCAGATTAAGTGTAGAGTTCTGTTAACATTTCAAGCTGTCATTTCAAGTCTCAAGCTGAGATGACCCTCATGACATAACAATGACATCATCGGGGATATTTTTTCTAAAGTATTTTTTCTAAAGGCCTCCCCACAGCTACAGATGAAATTATACAACTGTTTTCACAGGCTGAGTAGTACTCTTCCTAGTGAGCAACCTGAACTTCATATGCACAATTCGTGGAGTGCCCCTTTAACGTGGCCTTTATGAAGATATAAGTTAAGCTTCAGATTAGACAAATGCAAATTAAGTTTAAACTGCTTAAAGGCAAAATCTACAATGAGATATTTAAATAAACTTGGTGCTTTCCAAGAATTGTTCTCCCAAGTTACTATCCCTCAACCTGCCTCATCTTCTTCTTCCTCAGTGGTTTCCTACGTTTTTCCACAATGACTTTGCACAGCCTCTCGAGAAAGGCTCCTGTACTTGTTGCTTTGGGTTACGAGAGTAGGCGGGGAGAGCAAAAGCAACACCACCAGCGAAAGAGAGAGAGAGGTTTTTCCAGTCGAGAAGAAGTCATGGTCTTTTAGTCAAAATGCAAAATCTGTTTTGGCTGCATTGCATTCTGGTCTACTGAGCCGACAGTAGGCGTAAAAAATTGGTATCTCTGCCTCTGTGGCGATGGGGTTTTTTTCCTGTGAGACTGTTGGATGTCAGTGAGTCTGGAGAGGAGCTCTTTGCTCTTTGATTCCGGGGGACTGACACAAAAAACTGACATTACAGTAATGTTACAGTGTGTGAGGGCGACTTTTAACTAAAAGCTCAGTGACTGTGATCTGCTGTTTTACATCTTTCTACGGCCTCCTGGAGCTCCGTATGTAGAGGACCGTTTTCTCTGCCTTTACAGCAGAGATTTTTTTCGCCAGCTCTCTCTGTAGCGCTGCGACCTCCTCTTAGTGAGGGCTAATAGATGAAGGCGCTTACAGGCAGCTCCACTCACCTTTCCTACCCTAGTTCTCCATCACTTTCCCTCTCTCGACCCCCTCACACACACACACACACACACACACACACACACAATCCAAGGAATCAAACTGCATCAGTGTGAGCATCTTGTGGTCCAATTAGCTCCAGGGCACCAAGCAAAACACCACCCACACTCCAGGCCAGAGCAAAACCTGCGTGTGCTGAGTCACACACACCTTTAAGTGCTCATCAACTGTGTTTTATCCACAGCTTAAATCACATAGCTGATGTATACACCAGGCATTCACACAATCTGACTTTGTGTCACACTCTCCCATTTTTTTCTTTCAAGCAAAATCCTTTGAGGGGAGCAGACAAGTGTGTTTAGACTGTAATGTGTGTGTACACTGGACCAACAGTGCCACCTGGTGGACCATTTGCCATGATGAAAATAATATGGAACTGAACAATCTCTTGGCACTCGAAGAAATTAGATTACTTTAACCACACAGAAACACAACAAGGTTTGAAAATACTAATCAGCGAGTCTGATTTAATTTGCCGCAGACGACAGCTGGTGGTGAGATTTCCAGACAAAGACATGTCAGGACTTCCACAGGATTCATTACCATCACAAAACTTCTTTGGAAAACACTCTGAGATTAGATTGTCGTCCTATAAAGCCTCAAGAGAAGCTTGGTGATTCAACACTTGTGATTTGTGCTGTCATATCTTATGTAAATCATTTATCCTCAGATGTGCAAAGAAATTAAGGAGTTCCACCAAATGAAACTTTTACTGTATTAGGCCCTACGCTTAACCTGTTTTCTGTGCACTGTTTGCTGCTTGCTGAGCAGAAATGTGCAAAGTAACTGCAGTCTATAGGAAAAAATCTAGTTTCAAGCATCTTTAACTTTAATTTCTGGTGATTAAAGCCTTAAATGAAGCTTTAATAAGTCTTATTTACTTGTTCTGAGGTTTTGTAGCAGCTACATGTGCATCAGTTTGAAGAAAATCTTTGCAAATTTTACTAGTTTATAGAGGATTCTGTGTCATTTCTAGTGGAGTTTCTGCAGTGCACGACTCTCCAGGTCCTCTTGAGGTTTTATCAGAAGATAATCTAACCTCAGAGTGTAACGAACTCCAAAGCAGTCAGTGATTGTAATGATACCAACAACATGATTCTTTGCAGTTCAAGTGATATAACAGCTTTGATTGACGTCCCGTTCAAAGGCGCTGTTCGTCTGTCAGTGCTCACTCACATGTGGTATAAAGTGATGATTCATAACACTGAACCAGTTTGAGAACAAACCCAACTAGAAGAGCAGGAGAGAGTGAAAATAGTAAGAGTCAGACAGGAAGAAAAAGTAGCAACACTCACCCACTGTCATGGACTCTGGCAGACCAGATGTTGGCAGCACACTGGAGAGTGGAGCAGACTGCGTCGGTGGACTGGACTCCATACTGCAACACATTTCATAATTCATCTTTGTGAAGAAAGCTGAAGCTGCAGCACAAAGGCACACAGACTTGACTTGCCTGTTTAGTCCTGTGACTAAACCTGATGAATATTTTGATAGCAACTAAACTGCAGCACATCAGTCCCGCCTGAAATGATAGCAGCTTACTTAAATGTTAAAGGCGATCTGCTGCTCTCACAGTTTCCCGCCGGGCCTGTTGACTCGCACTGAGCAGGAAATGCAGCTGTGTCTTCCACAGAGCTCACTGAAACAAAACAGAAGTGAAAGTGAAGGTACAGACTTACAGAGAAAGTCCCGAGAATTCATCTGATAAACATCTGATCCCTACACTGAAGCCATAAGCAGCTGCTGTCAGCAGCAAAAACATAAAAACAGGAGAGTCTTTAACAGGGAAAGAACTCTTAGAGTGCTGGTTTGGGGATCAGTGCAGCAATGTCAACTAAAGGCTGTCAAGAAATATACTAATCTGGGAACAGAGAGCATTAAATGCGAAGTTGCATGATCCAGAATTAAGTCTGCAGCTTTTGTTTGATGATTTCAGGACTACAGTACCTGGCTGCGAGTCTGCAGGGTTCACAGGAATGAGGATGTCCGAACTGCTGTGGTCAGTCATCACCTGTAGAGGGCTCCACGTGGACACACTGGACAGGCTGCCAACCACCACCCTGAAACAAGACAGTTTCAACCTCAGTCAATTTGGCTTTTTTACAGAGCAATGACTACATTTCACTCCCAGGGTCAGCTGCACAACAAATTTTGTAGTCTAGTCCCAGGATTTTCAAAGTCTGACACTTTGAGTCTCCCCTCAGAAAGAAATCAAGACAACTTTGCCTCCCAATCCTGTTTTAGGGGATGTAAACAGGAAACAGTGTTACCATGGTTTCAGTGAGTTACGCTGTGGGCTACAATTTGAGCCCAGTTTTTAAGGCTTATTTTGTTTACATTTTAGCAAACTAGCATCATTAAAAGTATGCCGAATTAGCTATTAGGAGCTCCTTTGTGCAGTGTGCCCACAGATATGCACATGTGTCACTGAATTACTTTGTTCCAGAAGAAAACTTAAAAAGCTGATAATTTTCAGGCACTTTCTGGAGTTATAAAGAGCATTTTTTTTAGGATCTGAGCAGTTTTATGGAAATTTATTCACGCTGGACTCATGTCTGTGTGTCTGTAGCTTAAGTACATTGACTATGTGTCACAGTCACTCTGAAACTGCTGTCAACGGGCCAAATCAGTGAGGCAAAAACCGCAGTAACTAACTTCTGGGAATGCACCTGTCCCTGTCACCTCACACAGCATCTTTGCCTCATATCTCTCTCTCCGCCGTGCCTTGCTGGGAAAGTCTTTCTTGTGTAATCAACAAATGTCAGGACCAAAGTAATGCTGAAAACACACCAAGCAGCAGCAAAATGCTGCCATGTATGGCCTACAAAATGCTCCGGTGGTCACTCCGAGCTAAGCAAGCTGCAACCATTTAATTCTGCGGCGAACAGCGGCCAGAGAATACCCGCAGTCAATCAGTAAACAGCGTCCTGTGACTCCTGTGACATGTTGACCCATGTTACAAAGAATGTCTTGCCACATTAAACACATGAACACAACCCCCAGCTGTGGAAAAATGTAATCATTACGATGAAGACACACTTTGCTGCTGCAGCTTGAGAAATTTTTAAAACTTCATAGCATTGTTTTGTCCTTTACTCTTATTTTTCAGGACTTTTGGTCCTTTGTGGGGATAATTTAACTGAACCTCAAAGTAATGCAACCCTTTTCATAATGTTGGTTGAGTTTGTGCCTCTGCAGGTTGTGCATGCATCTATTGTCTGACTAAAGACACCTGGAGGAAACTAATTTTTGGATTCTACTAATCACCTCCAGCAGCCTGTAATTTGAAAACTCAACAGATAAAACAGGAGGAAACCCCCAAAATTAGGTGCAAATAATTGTCAAACCGTGCTGGAAAAAATGTGGAGCAATAAATGAAGATCATTCCTGTGCAGCTTTGTCCTGACATTGTACATTTTGGGGAAATGTTACATGCTTATTATCAAAATTCTGAGCAATGACATACCCAATGTATCCATGTCACAGGAATAAACAGGTTTTGAGGAGACAGGGCAATGCAGATCTTTTCATGTTTACTTTTTTATGTATATGGGATCTTTCCATAAATGAAAAGCAATAAAAAAAGTTTATCAGTAGCAGAATAAAAACAGTGTGAAACGAAATATGAGCACTTTTTAATTAACTGTATTTTTTATGGTCTCCTATTTAATGTCACCTGCACTTAATGAACAGCCTCCGAGGGTACTTTGCCCCGAGCCTATATTGACTTTTGTAAAATAAATCAAAAATGGCAAATATTTCTCTTCCTACTTTTTATAACCTGACATTCAACTGAAGTCATCTGACTCACTGATCAGCGCTGCCCCTCTCCTCCTCCTGGGTTTGTGCTCTGGGTTTGTACATCTCCTCCTCTTCTTCCTCCTCCTCGTTGTCTATACTCTTACTGTCAGGCAGAGGAGGTGTAGTAGTTGGTGGAGTGCGAGAAGGATGGGGGGACCCCACCCAGCTGACTATGCCCGGCTCAGCCAGGCCATTCTGGGCGGGCAACTCGGAGAAGGCCGGCTCCAAAGGATCTATGCCTTCCTCTACGCTGCTCTGAGCAGGAGCAGTGTGGCTCTTCCTCATTGCGCCTATCTTCTGGGAGTCGTCCTCTCCCTCCTCCTCATCCTCCGCACCTCCGTCCAAATCGTCATCAAAGGAAATGATGTTGGTGATTTTCTTTTTCCTCCGGCGCTCTTTCCTCAGCCCTGAGTCTGACGAGGAAAGATGAAAAAGAAGTGAACAAAACCTCAATTTCAACCTTGTACAAAGTGAAAATGAAGTCAGTGCATTTCACCTGTCTAGACTAGCTGCCTCCAAATGTTCATCCAGCAAAGTTTAGTACTGGTGACATCAGCATCTTAAGTTTTTTTCAATTAAGCCTTTAAAAGTGCATGTCTAATAAGACTATCTGCGGTTCAACTCTCTTCTTTTTCAGAGCCAAAAAGCCTGGCTGTGCATTAGCGAGTCTTCAGCCAGTGAATGATCTGAATGGGTTCCCACTTTGAGGAGCTTGCACTCCAGCTTAGAATTTCATTTACATTCAGTCCAGTGAAAAGTTTTAGCACCACACAGTTAAAATTTAAAAGCTTGTTCATCCCACTGAGCAGAGGGAGGGAAAACGGTGTAAGTTCCCTGATGGGTTGGACCGGGCCAGACAGCCAAATGAGGTCAAACAAGGAACTGACATTCTAGGGGTTTACTCATTTCACGGGGGATTTCATCACCGCCGCAGCACTTTGCTGCAGACGCCTTGTGTTGCATCCACTAGATTTGTTCTACCAGTGCATTCATTACACATGCTCCGACTGAACCATATGTTGTTTTACTGTTTGTGCTGCTTCTGTGATCATTTTTGTGACGTAAACACTTTTTTTCTATTTCTAGGACTAAATATACAATATGCTGTAATACTAAAATATATTATGTGTCCATCAAGGGGTGGACAAAATAACAGAAACACCTTACACTGAACAATACACTGAAATTCTGAGGAAATGTTTGATTTTTGCTGCTGGTCAGGGGCATAAATACAGGCTGCGCAGGCAGTGCAGTTGCACTGGCGGGCCCATAGAGAGAGCAGAGAGTGGGCTCTTGTAAGTGATTTAGATGGCCACCTTGGAAATACATCTGTGTTCAAAAAGGAACTCAAGCTAAATTAAAAAAAATTGTGCCATTTGTTATATACATATAGCTGTAAAAACTATACATAAACTATTAACAATTGTTTACGATTGTTAGGTATGTTGTCCAATGTCAAGACCCTCTTTCATCATGCAATGAAATGCTACTATATACGGTAGCTAGTTTAGGCACAAAATCTGTCAAGACTGACAGATCTGTCTGCTGAGCACATCAACAAGCACAGCAAAGCATAAAAGCAGCAATATGAAAAGACAAGAGAGGAAAAAAACAGGAAGAGAAAGCAGTAAGTAACTCAATCAAACACAATGTTGGTGCTAGTGTGCACTTTGGCCCATCATTATAGCGTTCACTGGGGCCTGTCGTAACTTCCTTATGCCAGTGCAGCTGGTGTATAAATTTCAAAAACTGCTAAATTATGTAATCTGTGAGAGAAAAAAGGCAAAAAATGATGCTACTTGGTAGTTCTTGCATGGCTATTGTATTATGAATTATTGTGTGTGTGTGTGTGTGTGTGTGAGTGTGTGTGTTGCAGCAAAACAAACAAGTCTATACTAAAGACTGCTGTTTCCTACCAGCAGAGCTGCTACGTGGCAGGACAGGTAGCGGGTCTGAGGCTCCGTCCACTCTAGGAGTAAACCCGGGCACCACAGCCGTGGCAGTGCTGATCTCTCGCAGCAGGCTGCTGACCCCCTGAGTCGACTCTTTCCACAGGCTGCCGATGCCCTGCGTTGACTCCTTAAGGAGGTGGGACACAGAGGAGCCTCCTCTTTGCATCACCCCGCCGTTCAGGTCAGTGTTGTCGATGTTGATGGCAAACAGGATGGAGTTCAGACCTGAACGACGCAGCAGAAAGAGAGAGGCAAAATGCAATGTATTACAGATCAGTCTAGTTAAATCATATAAAGCTTTTGAACTTCTGCAGAGTGCTCTGTAAGCTGTTCTGGGAGCACACAGTTAGACTGGGCAACCTAAGATGAACTCAGGCTATCTGCTTGTGTATGAACAGAGGAAAAGCTCTGGCATGAGATCAGTGGTCTGTATTCTTAATATTTTAGAGTTTGTCCTCATCTGAGTTGCACTCATCAATAGTTCAACAGTAAGAGCACAGCCATTAACACTAATAGGGTTAGGACTTTAAGTCCCACCATATCTAGTCATACTAAACAAGTAGAGTGTAAAGTCAGTGAATTTACTGCTTTTGCAGCAGCTCCGTTTGTGTGAAGCATGTTTAAATTTCCATGAGACTGAAAGTGAGGCTGTAATGCTTATTACACATCACAAGATTCAATTTCTGTATGGATAAAACATGGGGACACGACCCTATGTACACTGGCCAGACATGAATCCATTAAAAGGTCTAGTGTGTAGGACTAAGTGGCATCTAGCGGTGAGGTTGCAGAACTGAAGCATGTAGGAGAACTATAGTGGTTGACGCAAAAAATGCGAGTGGCCCTACCTAGAGCCAGTGTTTGGTTTGTCTGTTCTGGGCTACGGTAGAAACAACATGGCAGACTTCATAGGAGAGAAAATGGCTCATTCTAATGTACTGAAAACACAGACTTTTATTTTAAGGTGATTATAATATAATAAAGGCATAGTTATAAATATTATATACCATTTCTGCCATGGATTCCCTTTAAACCTTCACACTGGGCCTTTTAAACTTACTGCTAAAATGCATGCTAAGTGCTAACAAACTAACTGCAACATTTTATGCCAACTGAATGCATTTCAGTATGCTAAAATTACCATGATATCATGCTATATTTATGCTACAGTTACACTACACTAACATTAGAACACAACACTAACTGCTAACCATATTAGCATGCTATGTTAGCATAACATGCAACGTTAGCATGTTAAAAGGTGTTCACTTCTCTTCGGGTGGCATTTCAAATTACAATAATGCTAACATTTAGCTACAGCACTAGCATGTCCCTGCTACAGTCGGGTTTATCCTGTCCCTACTACAGTCTGGTTTATCCATAATAGAGTGCTGCAGGGCTGACGTTTTCTTGCAGGCCGAAGCCGAAGTTAGCATTGCCCTGGTTCCCTCGTCAAAAAGACAATGTGATGTTTCCACTGGATTTTTGTATTATTGCAGAAAATAAGATCTGTAGCAAACACAAGTTTATCATCCTTGCATACTTGTTTTGTTCAGCAAGATAATCTTTATAAATGAACAACACTTTTAGGATTTTTGAAGCACAAATGCAATTGCCAGAAGTAAAACGCTAACGTTAGGCTTTATACAAACTACACTTAAGCTGTATGACTCAGTGTCGCTACCACACCTGTAAAGTCGTGTTTGGCATGATAACATAGTCCTCTGTAGTCTCATTTAGCCACGTGTTAGCAACTGCCTTTTTTAAGGCACCTAAAAACTTTATAATTCACAAGTGGGGTATTTACTGACATATTTTATGTTGTAGAACAAAACGTGAAAGTCTCTTCAGCTTGTGGTAACCACAGGCCTTATTCCAGGCATCAACCCAAAAATCCATTTAAAAAAAAAACCCACTGACCTCAAGACAAGAGAACCGGGAAGGCTAAAATGCCAACTCATTTCCGGGTTTAGGACTCATTCTAGTAGCACTATATTGCCTGCAACATTAAAACAAAAACTCACCTGCAGCCATGGTGGGGAGCATACTTGCTCTCTCTTCATCAAGAATAAAAGCCCACTCTTCATAGTAGGTTCTAGAAAACAGAGAAGAGGTGAAGTAATATCTCTTATCAAGACAAAGAGAAGAAAGCCCTGCATACCTGAGCAGATGTAAGAGCATAACTGTGGAGGTGAATGGGTTCTGGAGTTTCAGTGTAATGTATGAAAAGAGCATGCATGCAAGATCACAGTGATATGCATACATTTAATTAACTTTGTTTTATGAAATTGCAAATGTTTTTGAAAGTGTTGTGAAAGTAAAAAAGAAATCATACATAAGCCACACACACACACACACACACACACATACAATGTACTTACCCCAGGCGTGGGCGGTCAGCCAGCAGTGTGTGCAGGTAGCGCTCCAGTGAGTGCTCGTTGAGGGCGCAGCGCAGCCAGGCACGACCTCGGCCCAGCTCTGAGGAGATGTGACGTAGAGAGTAGAACCGCTGGAGCTCATGGCGGTTCAGATGTTCCTTCACGTAGAACCAGAAAGTCAGCTCTGGTGGGGGGATAAAAAGAGCAAGGAGGAAGAGAAAGAGAGGAAGTAGAAAAGAGACAAAGAAGGAGAGAATCAGTTCTACCTCATTTGTGGAAAAACAACTGTTCTTGAGTTACACAGGAGGTTCAGAAGGTCAGCGAAGCAGTGGCAAAAACAGCTCAAGAGTCTTGAGAGTCAGCACATTGTCTCATTAACAAATATCCACACCTTTTTTCATACAGCACCAACCTGACCTCCCAACTGTCGTCTCTCCACAACACAAACAATTTTATTCTTTTCTTTAACACATAACACAGATAAAAGACAAAAAACTTATGTGGGTCTATTTCAATGTTAAGTTTTCTGAGGTGTGGTAATTAATAGGAATGAGTGTAATGCATACGATTAGCATATAACCTCAGAACAATGTGTTAAAAGTATGGCTGCTATTTCTGGCTTTGTCAGAGGGCTTGACTTCATTAGGGAGCTCCAAATCCATGAGTTCAGCCACAATCCTTTCTGCTAATTGACTGTGAAATACAGGAAAACGTCAGAAATGCTAATGGTTATGACGTGGTAGCCATTACAGAATTCATGCATTTTCCCTCCATCTGGAATTAATAGCCATGAGGTTACTAAATAGGACACAGTAGAAACAATTTAGTATAATGTGAAACTAATGTCTGTAATATCTTTATAAGCTCTGATGGCTGCAAATAAAACTGAATCTTTAAGCTTCTCATACTGTTCATTTGCTCATGTAGATACAGCAGAGACTCCCAGTCAGGGGCACTTTACCCCTAGGGGTACTTCTGCAGCTCATAATTTGATAAAAATAGAAATTACAGTTTGATTTATGTGTCCATATATTGAATGAACTACAACACCTACAGCACAAGTGGCAACTCAGTGTATGAAAAATAGTCAGCAAGCAGAGAAGCAATAAAAAACAGTTAGCTTAATAAATTATAAACTATATAAATATATGATATGATATAAAAATAAAAAGTAATGTTAGCAGATGAATGGCTGCAAAAAGAAGTAATGGAAAATTTACATTAATAGCTAAAAGCAATATAGTTAATAAAATGTAATGGAGAAATAGATAACAAATTGATAAATGGTTAAAATGATTGGCTAAAACTAATGGATAAATGGTTAAATAGTTAGCTAAAACAAATTGATAAATGGTTAAAATGATTAGCTAAAACTAATGGATAAATGGTTAAAATAGTTAGCTAAAACAAATTGATAAATGGTTAAAATGATTAGCTAAAACTAATGGATAAATGGTTAAATAGTTAGCTAAAACAAATGGATAAATGGTTAAAATATTTAGCTAAAACTAATGTATTTAAATGGTTAAAATGGTTAGCTAAAACGAATGGATAAATGTTCGAAATAGTTAGCTACATGATAAATGGTTAAAATAGTTAGCTAAATTGATAAATGGTTAAAATAGTTAGCTAAATGATAAATGGTTAAATGGTTAGCTAGATAGACAATGGTTACAATAGTTAGCTAAAGTGAATGATTAGTGGTTGAAATACTTAAAGTAATGGATAAATGGTTAAAATAGTTAGCTAAAATGAATGACAAAATAATTGAAATAGTTTGCTAAATGGATAAATGGTTAAAATAGTTGGCTAAAGAGAATGGATAAATGGTTGAAATACATAGATAAAAGTAATGGATAAATGGTTAAAATGATTAGCTACAACTAATGGATAAATGGTTAGTTAGCTAAAACAAATTGATAAATGATTAAAATAGTTAACTAAAACAAATGGATAAATGGTTAGCTAAAACTAATGGATAAATGTTCGAAATAGTTAGCTAAATGGATAAATGGTTAAAATAGTTGGCTAAAGCGATTGGATAAATGGTTGAAATACATAGATTAAAGTAATGGATAAATGGTTAAAATGATTAGCTAAACTAATGGATAAATGGTTAGTTAGCTAAAACAAATTGATAAATGTTTGAAATAGTTAGCTACAAATGGTTAAAATAGTTGGATAAAAACAAATGGATAAATGGTTAGCTAAAACCAATGGATAAATGTTCGAAATAGTTAGCTAAATGGACAATGGTTACAATAGTTAGCTAAAGTGAATGATTAGTGGTTGAAATACTTAAAGTAATGGATAAATGGTTAAAATAGTTAGCTAACACTAACGATGAAATTATTGAAATAGTTAGCTAAATGGATAAATGGTAAAAATACTTAGCTAAAACGAATGGATACATGGTTACAATAGTTACATAGCTACATAGATAAATGGTTAAAATAGTTAGCTAAAGCGAATGGATAAATGGTTGAAATACATAAATTAAAGTATGGATAAATAGTTAAAGTAGTTAGCTAAAACTAATGACTAAATTATTGAAATAGCTAAACGGATAAATGGTTAAAATAATTAGCTATAACTAACGTGTAAACAATTGAAATAGTTAAAGGTAATGGATAAACAATTGAAATAGTTAGCTAAAAGTAATGGGTTAATGGTTGAAATAGCTAAATGGATAAATGGTTAAAATTCTTAGCTAAAACTAATGGATAAATGGTTGAAATAGTCAGCTAAATGGGTAAATGGTTAAAATAGTTAGCTAAAACTAATGAATTAATTGTTAGTTAGCTAAAAGTGATGGATAAATGGTTGAAATAGGATAATGAATATGCGGTTGACATTACCACAAGAAATACATTGTTGAAATAGCTAAAAGTGGCACTATTGAAAGAGGCCCTGCTTGATAGATAAATGGTTGAAATTTCGCAAAAAGTAACAGAAAAATTGCTAAAATAGTTAGTATAATGACTAAATGGTTGGACTAGCGAAAAGTAGACTCGCAAGTCAGTCTTAAGACGCTTTGCTTAACTAAAGACTGATGATTTTCTCCCTGATTTTGTGTTTAGATGGGCGGATACAATTTCAGAGTTTAAAAAAACTCCCTACATCGCAGAACCAATAGTAAATCTGCAGGGCGGTCCTTCAGTGGCTCGCTGAACTCTTGTGCTTGTAAACATAGTCCCACTAGAAACACGTGTAGCGTTACAAAATGGCTCCGCCGTGCTCGCAGAAAATGCCGTCAAAGTTAGCGGGTGTTTGTCGCGTTTGCGGCGACACATTCTCGCCAACTAAAAGAAACAAACATAATCTTTTACAAGGCCATGACTAATCCGTCCGGCCGGACTATAGAGGGAATCACCTTGTTGTTTACAAATACTTCCGGGTAGAAAACCACCAGAGCTTTTAGCTATATATATATATAGCCTATATATCACATTTTTCACATCACTGTATCACCGTTTGGACTAATCCGATGTTTGTAAAGTCTATAAACACAATGATTGAACAAACATTACTATTTCTGTGTGCACGTTTAGCTGGGCTAACCGTTAGCTGTTAGCCCTGTTAGCCGTTAGCAGTGTCTGTAATAGGTAATAACTCATTAAACGGTCCGTGAAAAAAATATCTTTTCCAGCGGATATCTTAGTTACAACATGATTGAGCTAGCAAATCAGTTTTGTGTTGCTATGTGTGGTATTTATTCAGTTTTGGGAAATCACGATGTCTAGAAAGCATCAGTGGCTGCAGCTGACAGGGACAGCTAACAGCAGCAGCAAAGCTAACATCAGGACATCATCTGTTAAAAGCCTCCTGTTGTCGGATACAACATGAAACTACTCCAGTTACCTCAATCATGTTGTAACTAAGACATCCGCTGGAAAAAATATTTTCTTCACAGATGAGCACAGATTTGATAAAACGGAGTTAAATCTCTCGGCATCCATTTGCAAGCTCTCTCTGTGTTTGTTTCCTTGCGGACGAGAAAAGGAGGAGCGCACATTTCCGAGAAGGCATGTCCTTTTCAAAAATGCAGGCGCTGCTCTGTTGCCGGCCGTTTTCGCCGGTGTGTGAGAGGCCGTTTACACATGGCCGGCTATTTTCATAAACGGACATTTCACCATCTGCATTTTCAACAAGATCTTCGTTTACACTTACCCGTGTATATATACCCAAGAGCATGCCAAACCTGTAGGTGGCAGTGTAACGAGAAGCTCAAGCCTTCCATGTATCCATTGTCACCATAGCAACATAGGTCACACTTTTGACACAGGTGCAAGTTCTGGTGCATACTGTGACGTCGACTGCCTCTAACTCCGTTTATCTCCGTTTATCTCAGTTTACATGCAAACACACAACCGGAGTTTTCCAAAATCTCCACTCTGGCCGGAGTTTTAAGAAAGACTCGTTTTCAGGGGAGAAATCTCCGTTTGCGTGTAAACGAAGGGCACAAACGAAGGAAGATGTCTCCGTTTATCAAAATCACCGTGTACGTGTAAACGGCCTCTTAAACACACTTTAGAAAGGAGTGTCCCCAGACTATCAGAAGGCGGAGATCTCTGATTGTCTGGTGGCGAGACTAAGCGAAAAGTAATTAATAAATGGTTGAAATAGTTAGCAAAAAGTAATGAAGAAATAGATTCATAATTAAAACGCGCAGTTTCTGCCACACCATGTGGTAAAATTACAAATGCAAACTTAACCAAACCAACCTAAACATTGTCAGTTCAACTGTATGGAAATTTCATCGTAACCTCTATTATTATATAAACTTTTATATCATCAGTAGTTAAATAATATCCAGTTCAAAATCAATTCAAATTCACAGATTTGTAACATGATGGGTGATGTCAGTGCAGGGGTACTCAATTCATCTCGACAAATAGGGTTGGGAACGACTGCATTGGAGCGCTAATCTCAGCAGCAACAAATAAAAATAACAAACTTGTGGGATAAAAACAGCTAAAGACTCCTTTCTTGCAAAACATTTCAATTAAATGTCAAAAAAGAAGCCTGAAAGTAAGAAGAGGGAAAAAGGAGATTACCTGTTTGTGCAACTGCATCACATACTGTATATTATCTATCTGCATATTCCAACTATTCATAACAGCTATATCAATTATATTATATTGAATGAAATATTCAGCCAAGTTGTCTTTTTATGGCTGCACCATTACATCAATATCCCAGATGTCTTCTGCATTTACCAGCTCTCATTTCATCTCCCCATGGTTCAGCATGCCATAGGCTGTTTGGCATCTCTAGGATGTCGACTGGAATTTAAAACAAACGTCTGTGCGTCTGAATAATGTTCGAGCACACAACATGCATTTAAAATGGCAACATGTACTTTTTATGAGTGACATGCCGCAGCAGGTGTGCCGCCCACCACAGAGAGACACAAAGACACAGAGGTTTAAAGACAGACAGGTGAGCACAACTGGGAGAGTGAAACAGGGAGGCAGAGACCTTCCTGTGCATGTCATTTTGAACTGTAGCCTGTCTGTAGTCTAACCATCTGGTCTCACAGCCAGGTTGTGTGTATGTGTGTGCATGTGGTTATCCTACAGCTCTGAGCTTTCCGGTGACACACCTGTGTCCTCCAATCCTCCATGACTTTTAAAATAACAAGCCAAGCTCCCCTGTAGCAAGGTTAGCATTCCCAGCTCTGCTTTTTCCAAGGTAAAGGCTGGAGGTTAAAGTCAAGTTGCTGCCTTGATTTTCAACTCTAGACCCGAGTTTAACAGACCATGCAGCCAGTTAAGCACCGTACCTGCTTCAGTTTTGGAGCTGAAGCCTGCAGCCTGCTTGAGAGCGGCAGCGGTGAGAGCCAGACCTCGGCTCTTCCTCAGACCATGTTGCAGCACCGCTTCAAACTGGGCACACAGACAGATCACCCTGTAGAGACCAAGACAAGATACTTAGTGGAGTATGTGAACTCCTTAAATGTTTATATGCCACTTAAATTTATGGGCACACTTTAAAACCTGATAGAAGTATAATTATTTAGAGTTCTGGATAAAAGATGAACCACTAGGTTCCAAACAGTCCACGATCATGTTTTCTGAATATGAATATATGCTTCATCATATGATTATTTATAATGCCACTGAAGAACCCTTTATCAACAAGACAGCAAATGGTAACTTGTGTCTAAAAACTGTAGCTACAACCCTTAAAAAAAGACCTGAGCAGCACAGGATATGAAATTTTGATGAAATATTGACAGCATAAAGCGCTAATGAAACAAGATTGATACATAATTTTTCATACATACCCCATTTTTCCTTTTTGTCATAAACACATTCTTATTGCTTATATTTTAAGGAAAATATTGTAAAGCTCTCAACCCTGAAAAATAAGGTCATTTATTACATAGCAGAGGAAAGAAATCGATCCTCAAGCTGGGCATATCGCCAGCTCACTGTACAGAGGAGGCAGAAGGTTAAGATACCAGAGCTTAAAGCACCACCCCATCAAGTCCCCTGGAACTACACACACGAATCAAACAGCCTCCTGGGTGCTAAATAAACACAGATATATAACTTAAGAATTTCCTGGTAACAGGCAGCTTCTCTTACCTGCTGTCTGAGTCCGTGGCAATCTCCTTTCTTCCTCCAAAGCGTATTTGGCACTGGAAAGATATGAAGGGAATGATAATAGCCGCCCATGAAATACCTCCTTCTCCAGTGTTTGCCTGCCAGGTTCAAACTTTACTCCAGTGCACACTGCACAGTGAGCACATTTCTAAGACTTCAAGGGGCCTAAATCGCTCAAGTAGCCACAGAATAAACACAGTCTCTTTATGAACAGTACTGATGTATGTGACCTAGCAGCCTATCATTTGGATAATAGCTGGTAAGTTAGGAGCAAAGCCTGCATTGACACATCATGAGAAGCCTCTATTTGGAAGCTTATGGCTCTGTTACTTGAGGCTCTTTTTAATCTTTAGGGTTAAAAATGTCTCTGATGCACAGCACTGATCTCAGTTTTCATTTCCTGTTAAAACCTTAACTGAGTGTACATCAGTGTTTCTCTAAAGCCTTTGAGAAGAACTGGGAACTTAAACCACTCGTCGCTGTCCGAGGTGACATGACTATGTTACCTATGGCAATCAAACTTATTCTTCTTATGTGGAAGTCAGACTGGGCACCAAAATATGATGTGTGGATAACAGACTTGATGAATGTATTGTACTTAGAAAGGTTAAGGTTCTCTAATAAGAATAAGACTCAAATATTCGTCAGAACTTGAAGCCCCGTACTCGAGTACCTCAAGAGTAGTAGATTGTAATGGACTGACAAGTATACCCAACAGTACACCCTCTACCCTCTCTGTGTGTATGTATTTTGTTTGTTTGTTGCTTTGTATTTGTGAGGATATTCCTGACTGAGTGGCTCAAGTTTTCTTTTTTTTTTAAATGTTCATATCATACATAGTACAGGCCAGCCACACTTCTGTACACATAGTCCCTACTTTCTGTCTTTTTCCCTCTATGTATGGACATCCTGTCAAACCACATCAGTAAATTATGTGTTCCCTTGCACAATAGATAGGGATAGGAATCCGAGAACTGGTTATACATTGTCCAATTCATTAGATTGTATGCCTCGGAGCTTATCAATTCCTTATATCAATGCCAACATGTTTTTCGGACAGTTCCAAACTGCAAAACGATGACATTATACTCATGCGTCTATGCTGCTTGAAACTGGCAACAATAAGGAGTCAAGGCCAAGAGAAAGAAACAGTCCAAAGCATGGCTTTTTTTCACAAATGCTGCTTGTAATGTCTGTAATATGTCAGATTTCAAGTATCATCTTTCTACGCAACATGGGCTGAATGGCATGTATTTGACACTCTACTGCTTCCCAACCGAGCAGCACGTCCATTACCGTGGGTAAATATCCTCTGTTTTAATCTCGTCAAACGGCTACACTGTGTCCAGACACAGAGATTATAAAACAGCTGTGTTGATGTTGAAAACCTGTGTAGGCCTACTTTATTTCCACACAAAAAAATTGATCAAGAATCAACAAGGTAACTGATAAACAACAGGACCAGAACAAAATCTTATCAATTCCTATCCCTATTCACTTTTTGAAACCACTGAAATTCTATGTTTTGGTGTCTGTCCAAACCTGAGTGGGCTGAAATTTCTCAAAATTTCCTCGGGCATGAATCTCACCAGGTTTTTGGTTTTTTTTAAATTGCTGACCTTATAGCCTGTGTAATGCGTCTGTTACCACATTTAAAAGATCACAGTTGACTTTGGCATGTAATAAGTGTTTTCAGTTTATTTATTCATTGTTCACGAGGAAGTTTGGGTTCTTAATCGTGATCTGGCCCAGATCTGCTGCCATGGGTCAAGCTCAGGTCAGGATTGAACAGGAACTATGTGGAGTTTAGTACAGTCAAGCCTGATTATTTGGGCACAGTACTTCTTCACACAAGATTTGCACTCAATTCATCAAAAGATCAACTTGGAAAAGTTATATATAACACTCAGTTTTACTTCCTTAAATTGTACACGGTAGATAAAGGAACTAGAAGGTATTCTGAAACCACAAACCAGTATTAAATAATTTCCTTGTTCCAGTATAAAGATTATTGCCAACATTACAAGCTTCTGAGGTGAGCTGATTTCTTGACCATGCAAAGGCCCTAGCAGATTTTTCAATAAAGTTTGGTACTATGCTGTCTCCCATGTTACAGACTGTGAAGACATGGGGTGACTCACCTGTTTGACAGCATCCAGCAGCCTCTCCAGGAGGTTCTGTCTCTTTGTATCACTCTGCTGAGTGCCTGCAGATGGAAACAGACAAACACAGGAAATGACCCAAATTTGGTTTGTTGGTGGATTAAGAAAATCAATTACCCGGTCATTGCTTGTTCCTGTATTAATTATGCATGCCAGAGAGGAGAGGGAGGAAATGAACTACTGAAGAAAGCCGTGGCTATCACAGACTGATTATAAACACAGTGTGTTTATAAGGGAGAAACCTTTTTTTGTGAATCACTACAGCATGAAAAATCTCACCTGTATTACAATCCAGCACATAAACAAACACACAGACTGAGTCCCTGATAAATAAACCAATAAATAAATACATTTGGCTGCTTAGGTATGTTGTATGTACCTCTCTGTTTTTGTTATAGTATTTCTATAGTGACCTTCTATGACGAGTCTGTTACAAAGTTACAATAAGATTACGTTAAACAATGTACAGAAAAACAATCTGAAACAATTTTGGTAAAATAATTGGGGTTCCAGCTTCTTCAATGGGAAGATCTGCTGTTTTTCTCTGTTTGATATTATTATAAATAGCATAGACCGTGGGTCAGACATCTGAAGGCATCACTTAAAGGAACACTTACCCTTCTGGAAATTGTATGCTTTTCTTTGTTTAGGTTAAAATGCTATTAATAAGCTGATGGCACGATAAAATATAAGTGAATTCCACCAGAGATAAAAACTCATAATTATACCATTCTCATATGGTTTTAAGAAAACTCCGGCCAATCATTGCATTCGGACCGAATGCAATGATTGGCCAAGCGTCCTGTCTGTCTTCCCCACGTGGAGGCCTCTGACGGACATAACCGCTCGCGTAACATCTTCCCCCCTCTAATATAACATAAGCTATAACGTTATATATGACAACACAGCATCCAGTTGCTACCAGTTAGCCTACTGTAGCCTAACGTTGTCTGAGCCTCTGTATTATCTTCCTTGTTTGTTGCCAGTCACCAGTACTATTTAACGTTAGCGTTTACGTTATATTATAAAACTCATCAGTCATCACTGACCCCGAATAAGTTTCAAAACTTGGGGGTTGTGTTTGACAGTGCAGGACATTATATGACAACACAGCATCCAGTTGCTAATAGCTAACGTTAGCCTACTGTAGCGTAGCCTCTGAAACATTAACGTTATCTTCCTTGTGCGTTTCCACGTACTAGAAACGTTAACGCTACGATCTAACGTTAGCACTGTAACCTTATTCTGAAACTCATCAGTCATCACTGACTCTGGTTGAGTTTTAAAACTCCGGGTTTGCATTTGTAACGTTACACTCGCCCTCCTCTTACGTGTATCTAACGTTACCTTGCCAACGCCTACGTCTATCATAGACGTAATGAGGACATAATGGAGGAGGGGGGAGTAGGCCTTTGGAGGGAGGTGGAGTTGCAGGAGGAGGGGGATGGGACTTTGGAGGGAGGCGGGAGTTGTGGATGTTCAATTTTTTTCTAAGTGCTGTGTGAAATGCAAGAAAGGTAAGAGTAGCTTTAAGCCTCTGAGGACACAGTGATGGACATGCTTCACCATTTGCTGACATTTTATTGACATGACAAATGATTGATTCATCATGTTAGCAAGGGCAGATTGTGAGAAACACAGATCTGGGCACAGATATGCAAAAGGCCCCACCACCTCTCCTATATAGGTGCAAGAAACACAGATTTTGTGTTGGGTTTTGTTTGTTGTTGCTTTGCTTCTCTATGTAGTCCTGAAGCATATTTGTAGTTTTTTGTGTCTCTGTGAAGTAATTTTGTGGGTTTCTTGGGTCATTTTGTGTCTTTTTTTGTTTTGGTTTGGGGTTTTTTGCCCCTTTCAGTAGATATTTTGTGCCTCTTTGCAGTTCCTTTGCATCTTTTTGTGTTCATTTTGAGTCTCGCGTTGATTGGTACATGTCTATTTCACTGACATTTTGCAGGTGAAGGCCAAGGGGGGGCCCTGACACTTTGGGCCACTGGACCTGTGCCTGGTAGGCTCATTCAGTAATCCATTCATGCATATTAGCAACTGCAGTGACACCATCTGGTATTTTAATGTTTACTGTTCAGGATTTCTCTGATTATATTGTTATATATTTTTGTAGATATAAAAACAGGAGTTTTTTAGTTCTCTGACAATCTTGTACAAGCTGTCCCAGCCATGTGCTTTGCTGAAGGGCATCTAAACAGCTGTAGACAGGTGGAAGCAGGAGCAGTCACTTTACTCCACCCATATGTTTACATGAGCTTGTCATAACTACACTTGTGTAACCTCAAGGCTGCTTACACCCTCACCATGACTGCTTCTCATGTTAACTTGACAAACTCTCATGTGTTTTCCAATTTGCAGTTGACTGCTGTTGAAATGCTTTCATTTTCTCTTTGATCCACTAACTCACTAATGTTTGACAGACCATAATGGCCATTTGCTGGATAATAACATTAGGGAAGTGGCTGCAGTGCAGTTAACATGTCAGCAGAAATCCCCAACTTACTGTCTGGACACAGAGAGCACTAACAAGTGACTGAGCCTCCTCTAGCATGCATCATTAGACATGTTGTGTTTCTGTGGGAGAATGATGACACAACAAAACTCACCGTTCATTCTGACAGACAAACTCCGGTAGCAGTGACATCCAAGCTAAAACTGCTTCCCACCGGTGTGATAGCTTTCAGAGCGGAGGCTAGCGATGCACCGGGCCCATGCTGCCTCTGTGGCCGAGCTGGACCCACCCAACCGCGGCGTGAGGACTGATGCTCACACGGTGAACAGAGAGGCCTGCCGGGGAGCCGCTGGGGCTGTGAGTCTACCACAGTGGGACATGGAGGAGTTGTACGGAGCCTGACACGCAGATAAACTCAACTGAGCACGAGCCGGAGTTTATTTTCACAGCCGTGAAGTCATACGTGTAAAATGTGGAGGTCCGTTTTGAGGAGGACTGAAGTGTTTTCAGTTTGGAGCCTGTGGCACTGCGAAAAGGGAAACCGAGTACTGACTGAGCGGTGTCAAGGTCACATGACAAAACACACAGCTATCATATGATAGGAAAGGCCTTGTGGGAGTTGTAGTCTTTTTTGTAAACGTGTTGTGGAACTACAAAACTAAAATAGCCTCTTATCTTTTTGAAACCTCAGCAAATTGGCTTTATTTCTTCAAAAAAAAAAAACATAGGAAGAAGGCAATGAGAAACGAAATACGAAATGACCCAAAAAAAGAAAGAATTAAGCAAGAAAATAATAAAAAGAAAAACAAGAAAATTTAGATAAATAATAAATACAAAATAAAAAAATAAATATAATAAATAAGTCAAATAAATACAATAAATAAAATAAATAATAAATAAAATAAAACAAAAAGAACAATGACAAACAAGGAAATCAAGGAAATAACCAAGAGAGAATGCTAAAAGAAATTATAATAATTCTTTTTTTTTTGTATAATTCTTTTTTTTATTGTTTTTCATTTTTCACAAGAGAAAAATCATAACACACATAGAAGACAAAACAGAGACAATATAATACAAAGTACAAATGCATTACACATATACATGCGTATCTTAGCATAAGCCTAGAGATACACAATCACACACCGAGCTATCTAAACACTCTCACCCATCCATACACACATAGACCCACAAAGGCACACACAGACACACAGACACCAGACACACACACAATCACACACACAGCCACACACATTACAGTGGGAATAAATCGATGAGTCTTATTATCCATTTTCCACTCAACTGACCTTGAATGGAGGGGAAAAGAAAAGGCAGACAAGATGAGTAAACATTCCTATTTCTTTACAAGAGCATTTATCATTGTATTCTGTAACATAATTAATAAAAATGTATTAATAATTACTATAATTGATATAGTTTTCCCCCCTTTTTTTCTTTTTTCCCTATTTTTTAAATCTAAGTATTTTCTAAATCCATTTAATAATTATTATTTTATTACTATCATTAGCAGTAGTAGTAATATTTTTTGTTTGTTTTGTATTGTTTTTTGTTTATTTGTTTGTTTTTTGTTTGGGTTTTTTTTTGGGGGGGGGGGCGCAATTTGTGGGACATTTCTTATCAAGTTGCTTATTGCCGTGTTTTTGAAAAAAACACACCAATTTGCTCAGGTTTAGCCTCTATGTGTCTGTGTATTCCCTGTAATTTTAACAGGGTGATACAACATTGACACATCTTACCCTCCTTTACATTTAAAATGGAAAATATACATATTTTTATGTAAGTGTTCATGGTCATTCTTGTCTTGTTCACAGCTTCCTCACTGGAGATATTTGAACTTAAATGGAAACACCACCTAAAGTAAGAATTCCAATGTGTTATTTCCATGCCCCAGGGAAGTGGGTCACCGAGCGACTAACCGCTGCTGAAGAAATATTCAGAGCTGTTAACAAAACCTGTCGTCGAGTACGAGGAAGAGATCAAGCGTCAGCGCAGACTGTTGGACATCATTTGGAAACCTGAAATAAAGCTACACAGGATAGGTGGGGATAAACTTAATTATTTCTTCTTTACTCTCACAGTATTATGTATAAATACATTAACAGTCCTGTTGTTCTCTGTCCCTCCAGAGCTCCCACAGCAACATGCCTTTAAGGAGGAGGAGGAGGGTCTCACTGACCAGCAGCTGTGTGTTCAGGACAGGAGCTCCATTGTGGACCAGGAGGGCCCAGAGCCTCCACAGGTTAAAGAGGAACAGGAGAAACTCTGCAGCAGTCAGGAGGGAGAGCAGCTTGTATTGAAGCAGGAGACTGATGCCCTAAAGTTAGCTCATGAAAATGAGGAAAGGGACCACGTGAAGATCAGACTCTGGACTTGAGTCCTGATGACACTCCAAGTGCAGAAGAGAAAGAGCCTGTGGTCAACATGCCTGTTATAATCTCTGTGATATCAGAAGCAAACAGTGACCACCAGCTCCTCTCTTATAACGCTCATGAAGCTGAGAGCCAAATTCAGAAAGGAGGCAAGCATGAAAACTCAGGATGGGTTAGGAATGCAGAGCCAAAACCAAAGAAGAGACATCACAAAACCAAAAGTCACAGTAACAACGTAGACAGCTGTAACTCATCAGAGATTGGCCATCATACTCCCACAGCTAAAAGCCTTTAAAATGTGACACATGTGGAAAAGATTTTAAGCACAATTCACGATTGCAGAAACACCTCAAAACCCACACAGGTGAGAAGTATACTTGTAAGACTTGTAAGAGGTTTCAAACGTAGTAGAACCTTGATGGTCCGCATGAGAATCCACACAGGTGAGAAGCCGCATGTTTGCAAGACCTGCGGGAAAAGATTCTGGGGTGTGTCAGCACTGACAGTCCATATGAGAGTCCACACTGGTGAGATGCCGTATTCCTGCAAAAGATGTGGAAAAGATTTCACAACAAGTACTGCCTTGTTGGCCCACATCAAAAGAATCCACACAGGTGAGAAGCTGTACATTTGCAAGACCTGCGGGAAGAGATTCTGTATTTTTCAGGTTTGAAAAAGCACATGATGATCCACACTGGTGAGAAGCCGTATACCTGCAAAACATGTGGGAAAGATTTCAGATTTAGTTTTGACCTGAAAGTCCACATGAGGACCTACGCAGGTGTGAAGCTGTTTGCTTGCAAGACCTGCTGGAAAACATTCTGTCACGTTTCATTGTTGACAAACCATATGAGAACCCACACTGGTGAGAGGCCATTCTCTTGCACAACGTGTGGAAAAAATTTCACAACAAATAGCTCCTTGTTGGTCCATATCAAAGGAATCCACTCAGGTGAAAAGCCATATTCTTGTAAAACGTGTGGAAAAGATTTTACAGCAAGAGGTGTCTTGTCAGTCCACATCAAAAGAATCCACATAGGTGAGAGGCGGTGCGTTCACCATTCATCGTCACTGGGCCTTGAAAAACACCTGAGGATCAACAAACACAGGAGAGACTATCAAGCTGAGACTGCCGTGGAGACGTCTTCACCACCTGAATGTAATACACTTTTGCAGTAGCTTTGTTTCTGTAACTGAATGTAAAATGTTTTCCACAAAGAGGAGATGTTCATATCATAATGTAAAGGTTCACTGTACCACTTATATTTCTGTTAGCAACTGTATTTCTTTGAAACAGTTGTTATCTTCCTAATTAATGAACAAATTTAAGTTTCACAGTGAGTGCACATTAGTGGATCTTGTTTGTGTACAGTTTTGTCTATCTATTAATGAAGTATGTCAGAATCACTTTTGGTTTAAAGGATAACAAGGACTTAAAATCCATGTGCCTCAAGTTGCTTTGATTGTTGTCACGTTTGCAAGAAGTGAATTTTCCGTTTGAGTGTGACCAACATCACCTTTTATTTATTACCATATATGAAACGTTAAAGTGCCTTCTTTTTGCTATTTTCATACACTACGTCACTTTTATGTCTGGCCAATTTTTTTTGCATTTTTCCTTTGTAAATTACAAATAATTAATGCCAATGAATTGTAGAAAATAAAATGCCAGCAAGTCTAAATGGAACAAACTCTACCTCATAAACAGACTTGAGCACTGTAACATCCAGCGGATTTAAGAAATTTAATAAAACGACATTTGTGACAGTTGTTGGAAGAGCTGCTTGATATGCATACTGTGAAATGAATGTGTGTGTGTGTACTGCATATCTGTATTTGAGTACTGCTAATAATTAGCCATATAGCAGTCGCAGTCCAATAAAAGTCTTGGATGTCCACTTGCAAAATTCCCACATTGTAAATTTACAGATTGGATCACTCTGGCTGCGATTCAGCGATATGGGACATAACTTTTGTCTCAGTGAGTGTGCAGTAATGGCTGTTAAGCTAGTGGGGTGATGTGTACGACTGATTGCTGTGTGGATAAGTAGCATTCTTTTAAAGACCAGCATCCTGTTGTTTTTGTTAGTAGTCCTTGTGAGCAATCAGTTCAAACACTGACACACTGATCTAGAAACAGTTTGATGAACAAGATAGAAAAATGGAGGAAAAACAACAACAACAATACATCACTATTGTGACTGAATAATTATTTGTAGTATGGTAATTCTTTATCACCTTTGACCCCAAATATTTGACAGCTATAGTTACAAAAATTACTTTACAGGGTTTTTTTTTGTTTGTTTGTTTGTTTTTGTTTGTTTTTTTAACTTAAAAAACATGCACCCTCTTTTTACTGTCAAAATCTAGACGATTTTTGATTTTTGTTGAATATCAACTATCAGGCTCAAACTTAGTATCATAAATGTATGTTTATTTTGTTATTTCTCAGTCAAACTACACATTCTGACCAATCAGTTTTAAACAGTGTATTGAAATAAATACATTTTAGGGTTTGAGTCTGTTTTTAAAAGTTGCTAAAAGTTTCCAGATGTATTTTATGGACCGTTTCATTGCTATTCTGTTGCTGGGGCAACATCTTTGGTCCCTGTTTACTGCATATTAACATCTTAACATACATTCAAACAGGAAATACAAAGGGACCCATTTAGAATGTTTATGTTGTCCAGTTTGAAATGGTCTATAAGCAGGTAAATTTGTTGCTAGGTGCTTTTAGCGGGAAAAAGTTGAAGTAAAATAGCTGACTGCCATTAGTTGAAAGCGGAACAAAAAGCTCCCTCACTTCCACCTTCGGAACTCTAACAGTGTGACACCCAGCGCCGCAGCGAGTTACATCAAAGATACTGTATATAACAATGTTTGGTTACATGCACACATACTTTGAATGAGCGAGAAGACGATATTGTAGCGCAGATAATTTTTTCAGCTGTCATTTAACAAGCATGTCTTCAGCTGAGAGTCTGAGAGAGTTGGTCACCGAGCGACTAACCGCTGCTGCTAAAGAAATATTCAGAGCTGTTAACAAAACTATCGTCGAGTACGAGCAAGAGATCAAGCGTCAGCGCATACTGTTGGACATCGTTTGGAACCCTGAAATAAAGCTACACAGGATAGGTGAGGCTACACTTAATTATTTCTTCTTTACTCTCACAGTATTATGTATAAATACATTAACAGTCCTGTTGTTCTCTGTCCCTCCAGAGCTCCCACAGCAACATGCCTTTAAGGAGGAGAAGGAGGGTCTCACTGACCAGCAGCTGTGTGTTCAGGAGAGGAGCTCCATTGTGGACCAGGAGGGCCCAGAGCCTCCACAGGTTAAAGAGAAGCACAAGACTGATGACTTAAAGTTGGCTCATACAAATGAGGAAAGGGACCACAGTAACGATGAGAATCTGAACTTTAGTACTGATGACACAAGTTCAGAAGAGAAAGATTCTGTCTTCAACATGCCAGTTATAATCTCTGTGGTATCAGAAGCAAACAGTGACCACCAGTTCCTCTCTCACAACGCTCATGAAACTGAGGGCCACACTCAGAAAGGATGCGAGGATAAAGACGCAGGATTAGTTAGGAGTGCGAAGCCAAAACCGAAGAAGAGACACTCACACAAAACCAAAAGTCACAGTAACAACGTAGACAGCCGTAATTTGTCAGAGATCCGCCGTAATACTCCCACACCTAAAAAACCTTTAAAATGTGACACATGTGGAAAAGATTTTAAGTACAATTCAATATTGCAGAGGCACCTCAAAACCCACACAGGCAAGAAGAAGTACACTTGCAGAACAGAGGAAGAGCCTGTCATCAACATGCCGGATACAACATCTGTGGTATCAGAAGCAGACAGTGACCACCAGCTCCTCTCTGACAACTCTGACGAAGCTGAGAGCCAAACTCAGGAAGGAGGAGAGCATGGAGACGCAGGATCAATCAGGAGTGCGGAGACAAAACTAAAGAAGAGATGCCACAAAAGCAAAAGTGACAGTAATGAAAAACCCTTCAAATGTGACACGTGCGGGAAAGATTTTAAGCTCAATTCACGACTGCAGACACACCTCAAAACCCACACAGGTGAGAAGCAGTATGCTTGCAAGACCTGTGGAAAAGATTTCATAACAAATAGTGCCCTGAAGGTCCACACTCAAAGGGTCCACTCAGGTGAGAAGCCGTATGTTTGCAAAACGTGTGGAAAAGATTTCACAACAAACGGTGCCTTGTCGGTCCACATTAAAAGAATCCACACAGGTGAGAGGCAGTGCGTTTGCAAGACCTGTGGGAAAAAATTCTGGGATGTTTCAACATTGACAGTCCACATGAGAAGCCACACTGGTGAGAAGCCATTCTCTTGCAAAATATGTGGGAAAGATTTCACAGTACGTTCTGCTTTGTCATCCCACATGAAAAGAATCCACATAGGTGAGAAGCTGCACGTTTGCAAGACCTGCGAGAAAAGCTTCTTTGCCCTTACAGGCTTGAAAAAGCACATGATGATCCACACTGGTGAGAAGCCGTATACGTGCAAAACATGTGGGAAAAGTTTCAGACTTAGTGGGGACCTGAAAATCCACGCAAGTACCCACACAGGTGTGAAGCCGTACCCTTGCAAGACCTGCGGGACCTCCTTCTCACGCATTTCAGCATTGAAAAAACACGAAAGGATCCACACTGGTGAGAAGCCATTTACTTGCAAAGATTATGGGAAATGTTTCAGACGTAGCACTCACTTGACAGCCCACATGAGAATCCACACAGGTGAGAAGCCATATTATTGCAAAACATGTGGACAAGATTTTGCGCGTTTGGAAACCTTGTTGGTCCACATGAGGACCCACACAGGTGAGAAGCCGTACGTTTGCAAGACCTGCGGGAAAACATTCACCCACCATACAAACTTTAACATGCATATGAAAACCCACACTGGTGAGAAACCGCATACTTGCAAAAACTGTGGAAAAGGTTTCATAACTAGTGGTGACATGAGAATCCATATGATACGAGCCCACACTGATAGGAGGCCGTACGCTTGCACGACATGTGGCAGCGCTTTCAAATGTTATCATGACCTTAGAGTCCACGTGAGAATCCACACAGGCGTGAAGTCGTGCATTTGCAAGACCTGCGGGAAAGGATTCTTGGACAATGCAAGATTGAAAAGCCACATGAGAATCCACAGTGGTGAGAGACCATATAAGTGCAAAATGTGTGTCAAAGATTTCAGACATCTTAATTCCCTGAAAAGACACATGAAAAGCCACGCTGGTGAGTAGATGTACCCGTCAAGATCTGCAGAAAAACATTCTTGTTTTGTCTCGTACAGCAAAGCATATAAGATGACATACAAACCAGTAGCCCCGTGTTGGCAACATATGTGTGAGACAGGTCAGTTGTGTCACTTCATGGTCAAAACCTACAAGAACTGACAGATGTGAGGAGCCACATAATCGCAGCACTTGTGGCAAAAGTTTTTCTTAAATCACATTCTTGAAAAGGTGAAAGGTTCCCTTCATGTGACTGTATTACCTAGCAAACAGTTGTACCTTCGAAATTAATGAGTGCACAGTAGTTGCTTTTAAAGTGATGGTGGGGTCATGACTCATGATTGTGTTCAGTTTTGTCAAATATCCGTTAATGAAGTATGTCAGACTCACTTTTAGTTTAAACTATAACAAGGACTTAAATCCACGTACCTCGAGTTGTTTTGATCGTTCTATATGAAGCCCTCCGCATGTTTGCGAGAAGGGAATTTTCCGTTTGAGAGTGACTGACATCACTGTTTATTTATTACCATATATTAAGTTCTATTAAATGTTAATGTGCCTCCTTTTTGCTGTTTTCATACACTACGCCATTTATATGCTAGCCAAATTGTTGGCATTTTTCCTCCATAGATTACAAATGGTTAATTGATTGTTGAATTAGTTCATGGTTAATGCCAATTAATTGTAGAGAATAAAATGCCGGCAAGTGTAAATGGAACAAACCCTACCTCATGTGGGATCTTGTTTGTGTTCAGTTGTGCCAAATGTCCGTTAATTAAGTACATTAGAATCACTTTTAGTTCGAAGTTTAACAAGAACTTAAAATCCATGTACCTCAAGTTGTTTTGATTGTTCTGTATCAGTGGTTCCCAGCTGGTGGGTCGGGGTCCAAAAGTGGGTTGCAGCACAGAGCTTTTATTTTGAAGTGTCGTGTTCTGCTGCAGAGTTAGTGACTAATGGACAGCTACTTAACAGAGACAGCAAACTAGCTGCATGACATGGGCAAACACACGCATGATGCTGAATATATTTAACTGTGTGGACCTTGAACTAGTGACTAAGGAGAAATCTGGACCCCGTGGCTGGACCAGTTGGGAACCACTGTTCTATATGAAGCCTCCTGCACATCTTTGTGAGAAGTAAATGTAACATTTGAGAGTGAGTGACATCACTGTTAAGCTCTATTAAATGTTAATGTGCCGACTTTTTGCTGTTTTCATACACTATGTCACTTATATGTCATGCAAAATGTTTGGCATTTTTCCAATAAATTACACATTTTCTAGTAAATAATGAGTCATGAATTGATTATCAAATTAGTTTCTGGTTAATGCCAGTAATTTTAGATTTGGAGAACTTTTTAGAGAATAAAATGGCAACAGTTGTAAGTGGGGCAAACCCTACCTCATACGCTTTCAGGACTTAGCACTACAGCATCCTGTGGATTTTAGAAATATAATGAAACGGTTTGAATAAGTTCTATGCAAACTGTGCATAGAACTTATTCAGTTACTCTGGGAAAGATGCAGACATTGCCTCAGCACTGCTGATTTTCATCTTTGTAGTCTGTGATTGTTCTTCGTCCAGCCCACGTTGAGGGTGTTGGAGCCCTGGCTGTTGAGGTCAGTGTCGTCAATGTGGATGGCAAAGGAGTGGAGGATGGAGTTCACATGCTTTGTTATATTCTGAGTAGACCTTTTTATTTTTGATGGCTGGCTTTTTTATTCATTTTACTGCAGGTTTTCTTCTTCTTTTGTTTATGTCATGGTGTATCTCTTTGAGGCTGATGCTTGTCAATCAACCTCTGGGGGTGGGATCAGGATCAGGCCAGTGAATCCAGCAGCATCATTAGGTTTAATTTCTATTTGTCCGATACATTGGTTTGTAGCAAATACATTCAAAACCAATGGCATTTCCATCATCCTCAGCTGTATGTCTGTGACTTTGGCTCCTGTGTTAACACATTATTCTGTGAGCTCAGAGAGCCTTTGTTCCTGCAAATGCAGACCAAACCACTGTGGTTAGTAAACAGCCATTAAGCTACAGTATGTGCGGCATTTCATTTCCTTTTCCCAGAACTCATTCAGACAAGACCACTCAGTTATGGGTATCATGTAACCTGATCAGTGGTCAGTGACCTGAGAAGTTCATTGCAGTCTGCTTAAAGGTCCAGTGTGTAGGATTTAGGGGGATATACTGGCAGAAATGAAATGTAATAAGGACGTTTTCTTTTGTGTATTATCACCTGGAATTAAGGATTGTTGTGTTTTTGTTACCTTACAATGAGGCGCTTTTATCTACAAAGGGACTGGGTCTTCGTCAGTTCCCAGGAATGCAGCTTAGCTTTGCTTTGAATTTTTCATCAGTGGCAACTAGCAAAACTGCAGTGAAAGAATTCACCTGCGGCAAAAAAGGCACTTTACCCATAGATCACCACTGTAAAACTGTTGACGGGACACCTCAAGCTGTAAACAAGGTCAAGTATGACTCTTTGTATTATTCCATTTTGATCTTTGGAGGTTTTATATTTGTATAACTTTCCTCAAGCACAGAAAAAGCAACTTAAAATTTGTGATGTCATCACAATGTAAAGTCCGTGACGTAAGCAGTAACTCTTAGGCCTGCAGGGGAAACGCTACTACAGATTATCATTCTGAAACAAAATGTATCATAGATGTTTATTTACCACAGAGCCTATTTGCTGCAATAGTTCAAATCCAATGGAAAAATTCCAGAGGGTTTTTGACAAAGGAACCAGGGCGATATAACTTCCTCGTTGGCCTACAGAAAAACGTCATCCCTGGAGCACTCTATGGTTTTTGTCCACAGAGTCCCCCATGTTGCACTGCAATGCTTCTACAGTAGCCCAGAACAGACAAACCAAACAATGGCTCTAAATGGGTTCTTGCATCAGCCACTGTAGCTAGCAGCCCCTCCGCAACAAGCCAAACAGCATCGGAAAAACACTGATTTCTTTTTCATGAAACTGCTTTATTTAGCGTTTCTACCGGTTTAAATCACCTGGTCCATTGTTTAGGAGAGGTAGACACCTCTGCTGATTGGGCTCCCAGTAAAAACATCAAGAACAATTAACACTGAAGGAATTATAACCCTGAAGTCACAAGAAGTGGCACTTGAGAGAAGTTTCAATTGGTTGCAATTTGCAGTCCTTACCACTAGATGCCACTAAATCTTACACAGTACTCTTTTAATCTGTAATCTGTTCACTTTGGTCATATCTTATCTAAGGTTTTAGTGTCTGTGTATCGCCTATGTATGTGTGTTGCAGTTTTATTGGAGGATGACAATCAAACGATACTCTCAGACCAGAGCTGGTTTATGAGATTGTCTCTGTTTTACTTAAATGCTACAGTTTGGACACTTGAATTGTGTATTTTGAAGCGATTGGGCACGTTTAGTCTGTGATTCAATATTTTCATGCAAGCTGTGCTTTGCTTTTACATGGTCACTTCTGTCATGTTCATGACAAGGGATTTACACATTGAACGCACATACAAGGCTGTTTTGGGCTTTTGAAGCAAATTGAACCAGTGTATGTGATTTCAGCTGTACAAATACACATGTTAAAGCACTGGCTGAACCAGAAGATGAAGAAAGAATCACTTCTCTCTTTATTTCACACTACTTGATAAAGAACAATTGTTTACATCACTTCTTCCAGTGTATCCTATAAAAAAATTTTAGCAACCAAGCATGGGTAGCAAGCAAGAAATGTTTTAGAGAATTCATTATATTTAGTACATAAAGGGATGTAGTGTTCCTCCGACAGAATTATACTCCTGGCAGCAGAGTTGGCTATGAGACAGTTTAATGACTAAATAAAATCTGGGAGAAACTTACATCATCAAAACATTTTACTTCTTTTTTGATGGCTAGTCAAATATTTCATAGATAGGTGGTGTTGCCACAGCCCCAAACGTGTATTTTTTTTAACTATACAGAAGCGTGGCAACATTATTTAAAGGGACAGTTCACCCCCAAATCAAAAATACACCTTTTTACTCTTACCTGTAGTGTTATTTATCAATCTTGATTGTTTTGCTGTGACTTGCCGAATGTTGGAGATATTAGCCGTAGAGATGTCTGCCTTCTCTTGAAGCACAAAAAATACATTTGTAAAACTCAACAGCAATGTCTCTTCCCATAAATTATGACCCAGTTACTCAAGATAATCCACAGACCTTGTTGTGAGCAGTTTCATGTAGGAACTACTTTCCTTCTATTGAACTTGATCCACCAACCATGTCACTGCACAGAAGGAAGCGTGCATCTACTGCTAGCTCACCTAGCACCACTGAGCTAGCTAACATTACACCTCAGTTGAGGAGGATGCTATTAATGTTTACATCTCACGCTTTAACAAGCATGAGCCTCTCATCCATGAGTAGATGCACGCTTCCTTCTGCACAGTGATACAGTTAGCAGGTGTAGTTAGGTAGAAAGAAAATAGTTCCCACATAAAACTGCTTGGAGCTTTGAGCACCACAAGCTAAGTGCCATCTAGTTCCATTATATTTAAGAGAAGGCAGACATCTCTATGGCCGATATCTCCAACATTCAGCAATTCACACCAAAACAATCTAGACTGATAAATAGCACTACAGGGAAGAGGGAAAACATGTTTATTTTGGACTTCTCCTGGACACAAATTGGTGTGTGTGCACAGGTTATAACTGAGGAGCTGTTTTCACTTTGCCTTGCAAAAGCAGGAAATGTACCTGCACAGTACTCAAATATATTCACATATTCATTCATAACACAAAATTGTTTGGGAGAGAATGGAAACCTAAGGGAGTGAAGCTAGTGACAGACGACATCTAGTGGTTGAATTTTGAAACTGAGCTGTACTTTATCTATTTGGCATGTGATACAACAAAAATTATAAGGTTTCAGTTTAATGTTATACATGAAATAAATAAGTAAACTTGCTGCTTTTGGTTAATTTCCACTGCTGTCCTAGTACAAAAAAAAGTATTCAGGTCACACATTATCCAAATAAGAGTCAGTCTCATCGTAACAAATCTCTTGTTACAACCTTTTTTTCTATTTACAGTTACTACATCCCTTCTCTGTAAGGTCTCTGAATCAACCACACATGACTTTACGATGACAGACTAGTGACTGATGAACATGCTGTAAATCAGAGCCATCTGCAACACTGTTATGGTGTGCAAAGTTTACATCTTATCAACGAGATAAGAACATGTGGATGCTATCTAGGCAAGACTTAAATGCTGTCTAATGATTACTAGTGTGTGTTAGCAGAACAAACACAAAATCCCTTTCAAACTGACAAGCAAAGGAAACAAATAAGTTCAGGTTCAGTGTCTCTGTGTGTCATTTACAGTCTGTAATGGGGTAGTTCATATTGACAATGTCTCTCTGACAAGTTCTTTAGATGAGGAGGCCATGGTGGTGTCATAGATAGTGGAGAGTGGCACCTCTGAACCAGTGTTTGAAGGTCTGTTGTTGACTGCGGGGTCTGCTTTGATGGATGGGCCGCTCCTTCTGAAAGAGTTCCTGATCCTGCTGGAGAGGCGGTCGGACACGCGCCTCACCACCCGGCTGAGTCCGCGGTTCTTCAGCTTGATCAGGCCCACATCATCCTCCAGCTCTTCAGGTGGCACGTCGATGTTCCCGGAGTACCAGAACACCCACCAGATCAGGCTGAGGAAGATGATGATAGCCCCCGCGTAGATGAACAGATCGTGGATAACCAGCCCTCCGAACACTCCCACCATCATGATGAAGACACCGAGTATGTCGTGGGCCACTGCGAACCAGAACGAGCACTTGCAGCGGCCGACTCCTTCATACCTTCTCTCCATGACTGGCTCTACCTGTACAGATGTGGACATGGTGCAAGTGAAGATCCTCCAAACAAGACAGAAGTTAGTCCAGATGTGTATCAGTAGGACAGTGAAGTGCAATCCTCATTGACTCAACATGAAATAACCTGCAGTGGTCAAAGTGCAATGTACGCAAGCGGTTATCAGCAAGAACCACACCAGCTCTGTGACTGCACTGGATGTTTCAAAAGAAGTTGCATCATCACTGACAAAAACAACCACTTCCACATTATAGAGTCACTTCTATTCGAGCCCCCTGGCTGTACCACTTCCGCCTCTGCTTCTCCTTCAGTATGGGGATCCAAACAAGCCCCATCACGACGAACATCAGACCTATGGACAGGCAGGCCGAGGCCACGGAGCTGGATGACTCAATCACCCCTAATGACTGGAGGAGGAAGAGGAGTCCGCCTGCAGCGCACATCAGAGATCCCATCACCATCACAATGATGGGTTTGTGGAGGTGGGCCCAGCCCGGGGCCACAGCAGCGCCTGCGTGAGGGTCTGGACACAGGCTTTGGCTCCCAGAGTCATCTGGAAATGAAGTTTCTCCAATTGCTTCCATGGATGCTTCACAGAACAATGTCTGTTCCCGCTCTGTCTCTCCCCTCTGAGAACCTTTAACACATGAATAATGCAAACACCAGACGCTGAACATCCATAGCTCTCCCTCAGCTCGTCCCGTCTGCTCAGCCAGTCCCTGTCGAAATCAATGCAGCCGCCTCCCAACACTCATATGCAGGAGCTATATCCTCTGTATGATCAACGAGAGTGTCCGCATGATGCATCTCTCATTCTCCTGCCCAGTAACCCGTGAACACTGTAATTCCAGATGGCCCACCACACCCACACAGCAGAGGGAGGGCTTGGATGCAAAAGACAGACTCAGCCCACCTGTTGACAACCAAATCATCACCACCGATTGGCTGGCCACTCAGTGACCATCTTGTTGCATTATATCTCCAAAACAAATATATCGTCTACAGATAAATTCCTATCTTAATTTTTCAGATCAGCTTGTGTGTAGGATGTATGTTTGGCGTCTCGAGGACACGAAGGAGTCGTGAAGATGCAGAGCCTCATACTGTAAGGGTTGTGCCATGTGAGTAGCAGGCAGCAGCTGAACAAGCCGGAGTATACTCTCATTAACAATAGGCATGTCATTTGATACAGCTGGCAGCTATACATGCACAGCTCTGATGGCTAAATACACCAAGAGCAAACAGGCCTTGAGGCTGGTGCACTTTAGGCACACAGAAGGTGTTTAAACAGTCCATATTTATTAAGTGTGTGAAACAATATAATTTTCTGTGCTGCCTGATGGTGATGCTCTTGGATAAGATCTTAAAATGAAGCACTGCTGAGTTGAAACCAAGTGTTGAAGGTGTAGAGTTTACTGTACTGTTTTTTAAAAACCTAAAGTAGATTGAAAATCATTTAGTCGCAAACGCTGAAAATGTCATTATTCTATTTATGATCAGTGAGTCATTCTGCAAAATCATGATGTTCATGATTCATACTAGGAGGATCCATAACATACTGGGTGTTACTCGAACTTTGCATGAATCAGGGATGATTAAATATATCTGTATTATCTCTTTCATCCTGACAAGAATGACTTCTCCTAAGCATCATCTGATAGGTACAAATACCCTAAAACAGTGTAAAACAACCTTTTCCTTGAGGGACCCCTTTTCTGTCATTGAGTAAACTTACAAACCATAAGTGACATATTTTATGAAAATTTATACTGTATTCAATGTATAACAGTAACAGTACAGAACAGCTGATTGATCAACTCAAATAGTAAACGCAGTAGCTGCAGGAAGTTTGTGTAAAACAAGCAATTAGAATAAATTTTGAGCAGATTACTTCCTGTGAATATCACATCAGATTTCCTGATATTTTAAGAACTTTTTATACAATTCTTTCTCTTTGATTATGAGGATGTTCAGGTCTTTACTGTGCCCCTATCCTGTGAGATTTTAAGTTTGTATCTTGAATAACTTAAGTTTAAAAACAATTTGATTTAGTTTTCCTCACAGAAATAAATGAAATGCTGAGATGTAGGCCTATTTTTATATTTTTAAAAAGTCTTCTAACACCCTGTAAAATCAAGAAAGCCTTGTGACACCCTCATGACACTCCCATGTTGAGAACTGGTGCTTTAAAATAAAAGGTCAAAAAGCCAAAATGTTAAGGAGTAGTATTTTTCTGTCATATCAAGAATAACACCTAAATTCCCAGCATTTGGAACATCCCATTCAGTAAATAGTAACCGAAGTAGCTCATAAATCACCACATTGACAAGGTGTGATTCATAGACATTTTGACATAGCAGGAAAACCACAAGAATACTTTATATGGGTGGGAAAATCTAGGCACCTCATGATTTGATTCTGATGCAAAGGGCTATGCTGTGGTTACAAATTATTTATGTATCAAAATTATTGATCCTATACAAGATTTAGTTTTCCTCGGTGTGACTACAAGCTACTTTTCAAACAGCGGATATGTAATGATCCATAATTAAACAAGAATTTCCTTCCATTATCTTTAATTAATACAGTAGTAGTAACATACAGATGAGACTTTATACAAGTTAAATGCCTCCATTTGCTGGCTTTTAAAAAGGGAACACGACTTAAATTGAACATTCCACTACATACGTCTCAAACTTGCGATGTTATCCAGCAAGTCTGGAGCTGCTCCGTAGAAAATGAATGGGAGACTGATTTTGTGGACCCACATAACATTTGTTTTATTTTTTCACACCCAAATGAGCTTTATTCTGTCGTAGTGTTCTCAGTTGTAAGATAGAAAATGTACCCATATACTCAGAACATTCCCCTGGGTGCTCTCAGTGTCATCAAGAACATCTTACCATTCATTGTCAATGGAGCAGCTCCAGACTTTATACCATATGACATCACTTTTGGGAGTGATTTGGGAGTTATTAATGTGTTTGGACCGTCTTAGATCACAAGAATAACATGAATGAACTTTGAAAGTGGGTGTAGGTCCCTTTTAAGCCAGAGGGTGCGGGTCAGATTGTATCAGTTTGTGGCTGTTCACACTCAGCCATCCTCACCAAAACTTAAGTCCTAAAGTAGCCTTGCTTAGAATGTAAACACGATAACCATATTTAGGTCCAGTAAATTTCACCTTCCAACTGGTTCAGCCTTGGGGAACATCCAGGTCTTATAAAACTGTCACAGGCAATCACAATTTACACAGAGTTTTTTAATTTTTTGTTATTGACATTTCTGCATCAATAGTGATGCATCTAAGAATAGATATTTTTACTCCACCCCTAGTAATTAAAAATATTAATAATGGCTGCCCTCCATTTAAGCTTCACTTGTTTCAGGGCCTCTGTGTATGATGGCTCACTGGCATGGCTTATTGATACACTCAACAGAGCCCGAGTTCACAACATTAGTTCCACCTGTGAAAAAGGCCTGTTGTTACAAAGCATTTAGAGAACACAGCATAGCCAAAGATAATTTCAGGTAACAAAGTTTATAATCTGCTTCATAAAAAGCAAAAATACAGACAAAACAGACTGAACATATTGACCATTCTCTGAACGATCCGGTGCTGTGTACTGTGTAAAATGTCCATGTTGAGAGGGTAATGTGCAAAGATGCTCTGCTGAGAATCATTTCACTTTAGGCACTTTTCTTTTTGCTTTGGAGTCGGTCTTGCCGGCTGTCTTGGTCTTTTTGTTTGGTGCTTTTCCTTCCTTCCTTGCTACAGCAGGTTTGGGTGCCTTCTCCAGCTGCTTCTCTTTAGATGGCTTCTACAAACAAAGAAAGGCACTGAGGGTCTACAGTCTTCTAAATTAAAACAGTACAGTGTAATCAGGGCTGTGACGGTTTCTGTAACTGTATGTAAAAGTCAGGGAACGTGAGTCATGGTCTGGTGCGCATAGCCACATGTTCTTAATGTTCTTAATTTTTATAATGAAAATAATTTCTAAACGTTAACAGGGAGTGAAATGTTACCTCAAAAGAAATGAAAAGTAACTGTTCATAATGCATTTGTGTTTTTCCCACTGTACCAAACTTTGACTTGTGTACCATTACACTCTAGAGTCGGTCGATATATTCAAATTAGTTTAGGTATTCAAATCTAGCAGCTGTGAGTAGCACTGACCTCCAGTTTAGGCTTTTTAATGGGTGTTGCCATGGGAACCAGCTGTGGGATTTCTTCCTCCTCTTCTTCCTCCTTTCCCTCACTGGTGGCATCGGTTTGCTTTATGTTCTCTGTCTCGTTCTTCTCTGCCTCCTTTTTGTCTTTGCCACCCTGTGATCCACAAACACATGAGCTGGTTATTGTACACATCATTTCTATAACTGTGACACAAACACAAGATGAACTTGTTCTCACCCTTTTCTTGCGAGCCAGTTCCTTTATCTTCTCCAGCTCACTCAGCTGGTTCAGGTCTGAGGTGAAGATGGGCAGGGCCACTGATGTCTGACTCTTTATGTGGATGAGCTTCATCACTGGTCCTTTCTGTTAATAGCCATGCAAATATCATACATAATCAGGAAATGGCAGCCCAGTCCATGAATTAATCTTTGCCTAAACCACCTCTAATGAAAACACAAGACAGCGAGACTCACCGTGCGTAGTTTGGCCACCACTGTTTGGACAGCAGCCTCGATGTTTTCTGTCACCTCATCTGCGGTCATGCCAGCGTGGGCAATACGTGCCATGCTACGATACGGGCCAATCATAAAGATAATGCAGGGTTACCCAATAAAACTCTAAGGTGACATTGTAAAAAGCACCAGTACAAGTGGTGTAAAAACAGGTGTTGTAGTATTTCATGTGAACATTATACATTGTGTATCAAGGTTGTAGAGACAGGCTCCACAGCGAGAGGAGGTCCATCTGGATTTACATTGAATCTCTATGGCACCAGCACATGCCCGTATCAAACACTTCACAGAATCGACAGGGTTGCTAAGAGGTGCTATTCTTTTGACATCACAAGGCATAAAAACTTCTGTGAAACTGAAATTGTTTGAAGTCTCGCTGAAGCAACAGTTAAGACAGTATGTTATCATAAAGCAGAATAAAGATTTGATTAGGAACACAAAGAGTAGCGGAGCAAATCTCACCAGCAGCAGCCCTTGTTGGTGACCTTCAAGTAGGTGCCCTGGATGACTCTCTGGATGTCTCTGGCCAGATGTTTGCTCTGCAGGTTCACAGACAGCGGCTCCCTGGGGAAGACAGAAATGAGGTGACGATGCATCTATGGCAGCTGGGAATACCTCAGCGTTGGTTTGGTCAACACCCAACAGACATGTTAGCTGTGTTATTATTTTGAAGATACAGAGGAATTGAAGGTTAAACTCTGACAGCACTAAGAAAAGGTCTTACTTTTTCCTCTCGTAGAAATGTTTTCCGAGGTGGGATGGCAGCCGGCGGCGGATGCGGTCGTCAGAAAGGAACACATCAAAGTTCCCCAGCAGACGGCGCTTGGCTTCATACGGTTTGTACTCCGTCCTCAGGACCGAGTATGGGATGATCTGATCCGGAGACAGGGATGTTTGCTTACAAGTGCAACAAAAGTACTGAAGATGCCATTTTAGCTGTGACCCATCTTATCAATAAGCACTTGGAGGATTCTAGCTCATTTGCACGTCTTTTATTGGTTGGTTTTAGTTCAGCTTTTAATACGTTGCAGCCACATCTTTTAATTAGTAGATTAAATGATTTTAATGTTGATCCTTTAATTATTAATTGGTACTTTTCCTCTCTGTACAGCTAAAGAACAAACTGTTTCGGCTAATTCATGCTGCTGGAAAAATTATTGGTGTTAAAGAGCACTTCTCCATTCAGAGTATTTATGAACAGGCCACTCTGCAACAAGCAAATAAAATTA